GCTTAGAAAACTCTATATTTTAGATAAAAGTGGCCCATTTATACACGGATCAGGATCTTCTGTCCACAGGAAGCTTTCACAGCTGAATAAGGCGCATTTTTCAGGGTTGGAAATAATGGAACGTGTGTGTGTGTGTGTGTGTGTGTGTGCGCGCAGCTAGCAGCAGCAGAGAGGCTTGCTCTCTGATGGAAACATCAATACTCATCTTCAAATACCAAGTAGCTGTTTGCTGCTGTAATGACACTTTGGGTCTTTTTCAAACTGTCGACAATTTGGCTGCATCTTTTGGGAGAAGCTTTCTGTGATGAGGAGTCTTGTACTTTATTCCTACACTAAAAGAAAAAAGTTCAAAGGCAAACTGAAAGTCTGGTAATTATGTGGCATTACGGTCATTGAATTTGCATGTACTGTGAATCTTTAGCCTACAACTTTGGGCTGAGCAAAGTGTGATGTTTTCAATGTTTATCTTCTGAATATAGTCTTGTTATAGTAATAGAACCTACCTAGTTTAATTGTCCATCCATATTATCTTCTGCTTTATCTGGAGTCAGGTTGCGGGGACATCAGCTTGAGCAGGGAAGCCCAGACCTCTCTTACCCCAGCCACCACTTCCAGCTCTTCTGGGAGGATTCCAAGGTCTTCCCAGGCCATTGGAGAGACATAGTCTCTCCAGCATGTTCTAAATCATCTCAGACATGCCTGAAAAACCTCCCTAGGGAGATGTCAGAAAGACGTCCAGCTACCCTGCAGAGAAAACTCATTTTGACCGCTCATATCTACGATCTCGTTCTTTCGATTACTACCCAAAGTTTATGGCCATAGGTGACGATAGGAACATTGACCCACCCGTAAGCAGAGTTTTGCCTCACAGCTCAGCTCCCTCTTCACCACAACAGACCGGTACAGAGTCTGAAAATCTKTAGAAGCTGCACCGATCCGCCTGTCAGTCTCACACTCTTCCCTCACTCACGATCAAACTCCAAAATATTTAAACTCCTCCCACTTGAGGCAGAAGCTTACTCCCAACACGGAGAGAGCAATCCACCCTTTATCAACTAAGGACCATAGACTCAGATTTAGAGAGCTGAAGATCACGGCACGATGACGCCAAYAAAACCACRTCATCTGCAAATAGCAGGTATGGAATCCTGAGACCACCAAACCGGACTCCCTCTGCCCCCTGACTTTACCGAGAAATTCTGTCCATAAAAGTTATGAACAGCATCTGTGATAAACACAATTTGGTGCTGTGGTTGAGTGGTGRTCAGTGCAACAGTCTTATTCTGAGGCTGCAGGTTTGAGCCTCAGGAAAGCAACAAAATGCATATTATTTTTTTTACAACAGATGTAAATTAAGTG